TCTCACTCACAAAAAAAAAAAAAAACACACAGATTCAACATTCCTCAAAATGAATAAAAATAATGCAACTCAGAATATGACGCAAACCTGCAATTAAATGTTAAACAACACAAATATGCTTTATGTATTTATTCCCATTCTATTAACCAATGTCTTTGCTTCTGACCTTCGATGATCCAGTTCAACCATACTAATAAGCAAAAATGACTCTAGACAACATTTGTGTGTCTTTTTTTACTGCTGAAGTGTGTTGAAATTTCTTCTTCATTCTACTGTACGGACGTAAATTTACTTTCCCTTCAGCCTGAGGCTTATTCATTTCACTTTTGGTGTGAAAAGGCTTTTATATTTGCCAAAAACATAACTTTTTTATTTTAAAAACAAACAAGCAAGCCCTGTCCAGATTTAAAAAGTAGCGCAAAAGTAACGTAACGCACTACTTTCCATAAAAAAGTAACTAAGTAACGTAATTAGTTACTTTTTTATGGAGTAATGCAATATTGTAAAGCATTACTTTTAAAAGTAACTTTCCCCAACACTGATGATAAGGTTGCTGCGAGAGCTAGTGAGAATCATTCAAATTCTGCACAGAATTTTTTTGTTATAAACAGCGCTGACATACATCAGGAAACCAGAAGCGGTAACGCTAACCGTAACCATGGTGTTGTGGCAGAAATAGTCGAATGCATTACATGATTCATTTCAGGGTTTGTACAACCTTTTGAGAGAAAAATTCAAGCACTTTTCAATGACTTTCAAGCATTTCACACAACTATTTCCAGCACTTTAAAGCTCTAAAATGATTCAATTTGAATCTTATTTTTAATGGGATGACCAAAATATACTTTGTGGTAAACAAACACTTGTGTAAAATAAAATAAAAATACATCAAATCACAATTATAACCAGTAGACGGCAGCAGAGGAGAACTTATTGGCTTATTAGTCATTCATTTAATTTAATTTCTCTATATTTTGAAACTATAATAAAATTAAAAAAATACATCAAATCACAATTATAACCAGTAGACGGCAGCAGAGGAGAACTTATTGGCTTATTAGTCATTCATTTAATTTAATTTCTCTATATTTTGAAACTATAAAAATCACTATTATAAAATATAAAATCATCAAGAAATCAGATTTTGTCAGAATGTTACACTTTTTTGTGTATGAAGTAAGAAAAGTGCCTTGAAAAGCAAACTTTTCTTCAATTTGCTACTAAATCACAAATAATCACT